CCCCCCCCCCCCCACACACACACACCCTGCCTCGTCCTGTCCTTCGACCCCCTCCGGCGACCCCCCTCGTGCACTCCACTGCTGTTGCTCTCTGAAGGTGGGAGATGGGCGGCGTTGGCGTCTCCTTTGACGACCCTGACACCGTTGAACACCAGCTCCGATACGAGTCGCGCCCTTATTCTTCCGAATCTCCCGCTCACAGCGGCAGCGGAGGCGGCGGCAGCAGCGGGGGCGGCGGCGGCGATGGTCGCGAAGATACCACAGCTTCTCCCCCTGTTCCTTGTGGAGACGTGGGTGGAAGAGCGGAGGCGGGGGCGGCCGTTCCCCACTCCCCGGGCAGAGACATGAGTGACACCGGCAGCAGCGGCGGCAGCGGCGGCGGCGGGGGCGGCGGGTGCGGCGGAGGGGGCGACGGACATCTTGGCCCCGCCACGGCCGGCGGGGGGCGGGGTCTCGATCATGAGTGCCGCGCGGCGCACGCCAACGGTCACGTCGACGCCGACAACGGCGGCGGCGGCGGCGGCGGCGGCTGTCTTGCCTCTTCTTGGAGACAGCACAGCGGTGGTGACCGCGGTGGCGGTGGCGGCGGCGGGGAGGGTGGCGACAGGGAGATGGAGACATCGAAACCAATTTCGGCAAGCGGGGCGACGGTTCCTCGTGCGCAGACGATAGAGGTGAGAGAAAGAATTTGGAGATCAGGCTCCTCAGTCTCTAGGTGGAGGATACATATATGTTGCATGCGTGGTCGGGGGGAGGAGACGGGTGGTTCGGGTGTGCATGCGATCCGTATTTTTATTAATTTTCTTCGACTCTCCCTACGACTGGTTGGGGTTTTCCGTGAAAGCAAGACGCAAGGAGGAGGAGGGGGAGGAGGAGGAGGAGGATGAAGAGAAGAGGGAGAGTGGCCGGACGGCGAATAGGAAAGCGTGAGTTCATCAATCCTTGCACGCCCCCCCCCCACACGCACACATTCACCAATAAGGGAGGGTTCTACAAGCCGAAAGGGTAAAGAAGTCGCCTCAACCCAGTGGAGCCAAGTTCACACGATTGAGCAAGTCGATCAATCACGACAGACCGAAACTATCCCCCCCCGCCAAACTCTTGATGCAAACCGAGCAGGGTACACTGGAATCGATCGCATCGGGAAAAAACACAGGGGCGGCCCTGGTTGCGATGGGAAAGTGGGCCGCCCACCGCCGCCTCCTCAGGCGGCCGCCCGGGGTAGGCGCCGCCGAGCCGCTGTCCCCCCTGTTTGATTCCGCCGCGCTGCCAGCCGTTTTCGAGAAGCTGCTTCTCCTCGCTTCGGCGACGACAAAAAAGACGTCCGCCGGTGGTGGTAGCGATGGTGACGTTGGAAGTGGCCAGCAGCAGCAGCAGCGGCAGGGGAATGAGGAAGGTTTGCTGGGGGAGGCGAGGGCTGGGTTGGACAATCTGCTGCGCTGGGCGATGCCCAACCTGGTGAGTGAGGCGTGTTCCTGTGGCTCAACCTTGGTGTTCTTTAAATTAGGTGCGGTGTAGCAGCGCTGGTCGGGAGGTTTTTCGATGTGCTGTGTCTGCGGTCGCCGTGTAGGGGATCGTTTTCTGCGTGTTGTGTTTGCTTTTGGCGGCGGGTAGCAAAGGTTCGTTGGTCTTTGTTGAGTATTTTTGTCGTGGCTTGAGAGGGCAACACGGCAGATGCACCGGCTGCAAAGCACAGCCGCGAGTTTCGAGCGCCGTTCTGCCGGCAAGACGCCCGTCTAGTCTTGGTGCGGGTGCATGCTGAAAGCACTTTGCCGCCACCATCGGGTCGTGCTATGCCGTACACCAGCATTTGCTAGCTGCACTTGGTTTGGGCCCTTGAGTAACACTAAAGGAGAGCAGTAGAGGCAGCACGTCAGCACCAATAGAGCGCTCACCGCCACACAATAAGAGGCCAAGCTTGTACTGCCTCTTTTCTGTCTGGTTCAACTGCATCCAAAAAATAGGCTATAGTCTATGTACCTAAAAATCGTAAAGTTCGGGTGAGGCTCCGAGCAACTCGTGCCATCTCCGGCAGCACATACGACCCCTGTCCCCACATATCCCTTCCATGCGCATGCCCCCCCCCCTTGTGGTATCGACCGGATAGATAAAATAAGGAAAACTTGATTGAGCCACCTGTTGGCAAAGGGAGAAGGAACGACTGGCCAATGGGGATCGGTCCTGTGGGCACAATGCTCCGTCCTCTCGAGGAAGCATGGCCAAGGGTCTTACAACTACGGCATGCAAACTTGAGTACGCCCCCCTCCGTCCTCTCGAGGACGCGTGGTCAATGATCTAACAACTGAGGCACACGAAAACATGAGTACCCCCCCCCCCCCCCCCCCCCCCCCCCCCCCCCCCCCCCCCCCCCCCCCCCCCCCCCCCCCCCCCCCCCCCCC